ACATGTCTGCTGAGATAATATTTTCTTCATTTTTATTTTATATTTTACGTTATACATTATTTTTGTCCACCTCACGTTTCATTAGACCGATTCAACAGCATCACGGCTCTTACCGCTTGACCCAGTCAAAAGGTAAGTTTTTCATCACCATCCTCGCGAGTAGGTAACTCATATCTGATGGTTATTTTGTTTAAAGCATTATCGTTGTCTTCTAATGATCTTTCTTTGATATATGTCTCGACTCAATATTCTGTGACATATTCCACTTCATTAACTTGTATTTTATGTATTTATCCACTAAGTTACCATACAAATGATTAGATTCATTAAGTTGATTAATGGACAACTTCATGGTCTTGTAGTCCCTCAGTGTGACCTTCGATAGGGTGATCCATTATCCCCATTTTTGTTTGTGTTTTGCACAGAGGGATTAACTCATTTGCTGAACAGAGCTGAGCAACAAGGTCTTATCAACGGTATGCGGTTTTCTGAGAATGGTCCATCGATCCATCATCTATTATTTGCAGATGATACCTTGTTTGTTTGCAAGGCAGAAGAGGTTCAAATTGTTGTTATCCAAAACATTCTTGATATATATGGTAAAGCGACAGGTCAATACGTTAACAAGGACAAGTCTTCTGTCACTTTTGGTACCAAGATTTCAGAGGATATAAAAGCTCGGGTTAAAATTGTTCTTGGTATTAATAGTGAAGGTGGAGCTGGTTCTTACCTTGGGCTGCCTGAATGTTTTAACGGATCTAAAAAAGATATGCTTGATTAAATACATGAAAAGCTAAAAAATAGGCTTTCATGCTGGTTTGCTAAAACTCTTTCTCTTAGGGGAAAAGAAATTTTTCTCAAGACAGTGGTAATGGTTATGCATGTTTATGTCATGTCTTGTTTTAGGCTTCCAAAAGGTATTTGTGAATCTCTATCTAGCGCTATGTCTGTTTTTTGGTAGAGCTCCTAGAGAAAGATTCATTGGATTGCATGAGACAGAATGTGTTAGACTAAGGAGCAAGGTGGTCTTGGTTTTAAAGATTTTGCCATTTTTAACCAAGCTCTTCTGGCCAAGCAAGCTTGGAGATGTTTGCAGGCTCCTAACTGCCTGTTTTCCAGATTTTTAAAGAGCAGATATTTTCAGGACACTTCTCTCCTTCAAGCAATCGCCGGAATTAGACCATCCTTTGCTTGGAGGAGTCTTTTGCATGGTCGTGACCTCTTTCAGTTGGGTCTGAAGCAAATGATTGGTGATGGAGCTTCTTTGAAGGTTTGGACTACCTTATGGCTGGATGATGTCCGGATGCACGCTCCTCTTATGAAAAATTACCTTGTGGACCTGGAGATATTTGTTAAAGATCTCATTGACCAGGAGATAAGAACATGGGATCCGGGTTTTTAGGAGGAGCACTTCTTTCATAGAGATGTTAAGCTCATTCTCAGAATTAAACTTGTTACTTCTTTTCCAGATTTTTTCAGCTGGAAACACAACAAAAGTGGGGATTATAATGTAAGATCATGATATTAGTTGGCTTGTCATCAGGAATTCAAGAAAGAGGAGATCAGTTTTGCCTCTCAGCTGCCCTCTTTAAACGGTCTGAAAGATCAAATCTGGAAATTACTAGCTCCTTCTAAAATTAAAATTTTCATTTGGAAAGTGGTTAGTGGAGCAGTCCCTGTGGCAGAAAGCCTTAACTCCGGAGGTATGAAAGTGGACATGAGATGTTAGATTTTGGGAGCTGAAGGTGAGTCTACAAACCATATCCTTTTAGGCCTTATATGGGTTCCCTTTTCTTGAAGACGGGTTTGATCAGGCTTCGATCTACCAGAATGTTCATTTGGTTCTCTCGCTGGCCAAAGGAAATCGCCTCCAACTACAAACCAGAAGGTCTCTTCCTTGGATTTTTTTTGCTTCTCTGGAAAACCAGAAACAATTTGGTCTTTGAAAGTAACGTTTTCTCGATTTCTGACTTGATGAAGAAGATCAAAGAGGACTCTGATGAATGGTTTATTGCCCAAGAATTTGACACATTGCATGAGAACAGTTCCTCGTCTCTTGTGCATTCACAAACTGTCAAATGGTGTCCTCTTGCAAAACCACGGCTCAAGTGTAATGTAAGTGCGATTTGGGATAAAGATAAAGGTATGCCTGGTGTGGCTTGGGTTCTCCGCAACTCTCTTGGTAATGTTCTCCTCCATAGCACACATTCCTTTGGGCTCTCCCTTGTCTAAAGATGACGCCGACTTGCAAGGTTGCCTTTGGGCTATGGAAAGCATGAAAAGTTTACATGTGCATCGTGTTGTTTTTGCTGTGGAGTCCAAGTTGATTGTAGGTACTATCTCTAGACCTGCGACATGGCCAAGCTTCAAAGCCCATTCAGAAGCTCTGATTCTCGCTTTTTCCTGCAGTCCTTATTGGAAAATTGCTTTCGAGGACCGCAAAACTAATCAAGGTGCTTTCCTAATAGCAAAGAGTGTCACAATGGAGGACCGATCGCAATCATATGTAGCACAAGGCTACCTTTTTTTGCTTCAGAATGTGTTTGAATTTGATAAATGCATTACATTATTGTAATGATTTTCTGTAGTTTGATTGCCCTCGGTCCCTTTTGTAATTGTGAACTTTATGTTCTTTTATCATATGAATCATTCAGACGAAAAAACAAAGATTGGATCCAAGTTTAAATAAAAATGGAAAGCAAAATGCGATCATCATGCAGTTGCATCAAATTCGAGCTAGGTGGACAAAATCTCTGAAATTTTCAATAAAAATTGTTTAAAATTTTAATGAAATGAAGTTGATTGTATATATTAAGATCCAATAACTGACAAAAGGAATTTTAACTAAAGATTTACCCTAATAGCCCAATAACAATTTCCAGCGCCAAATAAACCTAATAGGACCTTTGAAAACTCTCGTCAAGGGCCCTAAAGTTGCATGTATATGTACACAAGGGGAATAACAACTAAAACTCAATAGCACCTTAGTGAACTACAAGGGCTCTACCGCTCGGGTCCCTCAACCAAGGAGTGCGTAGGAATGTCGACCACCACATAAACCACTAGTGGCTGAGAGTGAAAGAGAAGAAGGACAAGACTCTGAGAGAGGCAGCTAGAACGATTCACATTTTGGCGTTTATTTTTAATATCTTTAATGCTTGTATTTTTATTTATTTTTTAATTATTATCTTAACATAAACAATGAGTAGCACTCCCTGAGTTTATAAGCTTCTTTCATAGATGATCTAGTTATGTAACCGTTGATCCAGTATATCCAAAAATATGTATTTTCAAAATCTTTCTTTTAACTTAAAAAAGAAAAAGAAACCATACATACATATCATTGTTCTAAAATATGACATAGACGGCCGTATATACGGTAGCTATATGCTATATGACAAATTACTGTATTGTTATTAAGCTATGCGTTTAACAAATACGGTTAGTCTCAATACAACAGCTTAGACGGCGATATACGACTCAATACGGTTACTATACGGCGCTATACGGCTCAATACGGCCGCTATACGGCTCAATGCAGCCATTTATATGGTGGCGCTTGTATAAATACAGTTGTCATTATCATTGTTTTTAGAGTTGAAGTTTAACGTGAGACTCTTTAATTTTTTTTTTTGTTTTTCTTTTAGAGCATTTTCACTCAGACATTATTTTTGATGATATTATATATATTTGCAATATATTTATATTCTATATATATATATTTTTGACATTATTGGATCGACAAGGTCCGATCTATAACCATTCTCTACTACGCGGAGTACATATATATCCGTATATACATTTAGGCGCTATACGGTGATCCATCGTCCGACCACTGCCTACTGTATTTTAAAACATTGATACATATATTTGCAATTTAATTATTAAATTTCATATGTATTGATACCGTATATATTTATATATGTCAAGCCAGTGATGTGTGTGGTTCTAAGAACAGTTCGGTTGAAAACTTGAAGGTCATGGAAAACGAAACTATATTTTATTATTAGAAGACAAAAATTATTTATTTTTTATTTAGTTTTGAGTAGTAACCAAAATTTGTACAAGTTTTTTAACTGTTATCTAAAGCTATACAAAAAAATTGAAAATAAAACTGTTAGTAACATTATTTCGGTAACTCATTTATGATCGGTAACTGTCAAAGTTATATATCTTATATCGCTTTGATAATGAGTCACCATCCAATGCCTTAGTATTCAAATCTATAGGATAGTTGACTTTCCGATTCTCGTTGCCTCTCTGATTTTATTTTTTTGTGGTAGTCAGCTCTTTGATTATAATTAATTTAGCCATTTCTATAATAATTATTTAGATAGGAAGATTTGAAAATTTGGCAAAATTATAGTGGGACAATGTCGCTTTCAATCCTGAGTATTTTATCAGACTCTAGAATCTACCCCTAACTTTATAAAGGAGTGGTGGGATTGTAACCAAAACACGTCGGTATATATCTTTTTCTCACAAACAAACTTTAAAATCAAAGATAACACTTCGGTAATTATCATATGATTTAAATTTTAAAAATTACTATTTCTATAACTAATTAAAATAATGCAACGTTACTGATATTTTTTTAAAAAATGAACAAGCATCCAGCAATAATCAATCAGATTGAAACTTGACAGAAGCGTAGTAAATTGTAAATTAGTAAAAAAAAAAAAAAAATTGTAAATCAGTATGACTTCATGCAGCCAAACTAGAGATGCTCCAACAAAAGCATTACAGTTCATTGAATTCTAGGAAATTTGTATTTTTTTTTACTACGTCCAGTAAAGTGCACTTGGACGCAAAAGCTGTTGCAATTTTGTAGCAAAAAACAAAAAAAATGGTGGAAAATTCCGGAAAATATTACATAGACAATAACAACCCCCCACTTGTCAAAAGAAGACAAGGAAAACCACTACTACCACTCGTTGTGTAAGTCAATACACACACATTACGCTCCATATTCACATCTATTGCAAAAAGAGTATTCATCATCCATCAATTTGGCCATCCATATTCATCCATCAAACTTTCTGTTGCACAAAAATCTCATTTTCCATAAGAAATTTTACAAATAAAAGAAAAACATACGCTGAGACAACTTCATCTACCTTCGAAAAAAGTTCCATTACTACACATATTTAAGTTCACATGAAAGACTAAATCTTCATGATCTTAAGAAAAATACATATAATCTATTATTACCATATTACTCAGGTACTTTGATATTTTACATGGATGTTCCATATATCTTGCTAGAGAATAACTAAAGCTGGTCATCGTAAACTTTGATCGATCTACTTAGCCCCAAACGGGAACCACCTCTCCTGGAAATCTGACTGGTACGAGACCATGAACAATATGAGCACGAGCACGGCTGCTACGCCCCAAGGGGAAGAACCAGCACGGTGAATGGAGTCTTGTTCAGGCCAGGGGACGTAGAAGGAGAGGCCACCGGAGAAGAAGTGGACGAGGAGGAGGAGGAAAAGAGGGGTGAACATAAAGACGAGTTTAAGCTGGTCCAGGGTGTCTTCGATGATGGACTCGTAGTTCAAGTACCATGTGAGGGACAACACGAAAAAGACGACGATGAAGAAGAAACAGAGATGTGGGTTTGGGAGAGCGAGGTAGTCTAAGTAAGATGAGCCATAGTATGGTGATCTCGCCATGCCTTCTTCTTGATCTTCTCTGGTTTTGATAAAGGACTAAGTTTTTTAGAATGTGGAAGTGAAATCTAGATGTCTCTGTATATAAAGAATTTATATTATCTTTGGAGAGAAGAAAAGAGGATGCTTTCAATGGGTGTTATTATTTACCTTATAAATAGATTAAATTATTTCAGGGCTTTTCGGTTTTTGAAGTGGTCGGTCGAGACCACGTGGATGTTTGTAATTGATCTGTATTAATACTAGGGCCCTTGATTATATATAGTTATTGCTTTTGGATTTAAAGCCAAATAAAGCTAAACTAAAGGGGCACTTTCTCGTCATTATTCGTATATTTAAACAACATAAATTTTAAAATAGAAGGTAGGTGTGCTCCAAGAATTATTTGGATGATATTCTTCAGCTATGGTTTTATTTGGATCGCTTGAATTATTAGAGAAGAATTATCTGAATATCTCTAAAACTTTTGGATCGTTCGAAAAAATAGTTATTCTTACCATTTTCTTGTGTGTTTAGAAAGAGATATTCTAGTTTACCAAAAAAAAAAAAAAAGAGAGATATTCTTACTAATTGATTAAAAAAAAAAAATTAAAGATATTTAATTTGTCTAGTAATGGATGCACTGGCCAGGTGGGAGCCTGGAGGTGTAAGGCATAACTTTTAGTGTTAAGATTGAATATTGTCCTGATTAAATGTCCAACCAAAAAATTGAATGGTGCGCTAAGGTTTTCAAACTCAAGAAGACACATATGTCTTCTTCGATTTGCACCTTCCACTAGTCCTTTTTTTTTTTTAGTAGCACAAATACTCTATACCAAAAATAGTAAGTTGTTTTGATATTAATTTTTCATTAATTTTTATTTGTCTTTCCTAAATTTTTTTCTAATTTATTTTCATTTTCATTTTCCTCTTTTTTTAATTTTTTTTTTCTACACGAATGTAAATCCAGTAGCATGCACGTGTGAGTTAACACGAAAATTTTATGTGCTTATATTATACTTCCTCCGTTTAAATTAGTTGTGTTTAAGGTTTTCTCACGCATATTAAGAAAACATTCACGCATATTATTTTATTTGATATTGTCAATAATTAAGCTTAAAGAATATGGGTAAAATTGGAAAATCGATCAAACATCTGCAAAACAGAAAGCAACAACTAATTTGAAACAATTTAACTTATAAAACGACAACTAATTTAAAACGGAGGGAGTAACATACATGAATTGCGGTCTTCATTATGTCATCAAAGTTTTCCGTGCCATATCAATTTATATTTCCTAAATTAGGGCTTGACATTCGGATATGCGGGTCGGGTTATGATAAAACCCGATCGGGTATGGGTCTTTCGGGTAGAGGAGTTTAAGACCCAATAGGGTAAATCTAAAATATCGGTTCGGTTTCGGTTCGGGTCCAATCGGATTCGGATCGGTTCGGGTTTAAATTTTTAAAACCGCTAGATACCCAAAAAAATCGGATACCCATCGGGTTCGGGTATTTTATACCCGATTATACCCAAATACCCGAAAATTTCCCTAATATCCGAATTTTACCCGAAATTTTACTCTAATATCCGAGCTTCACCCGAAATTTTATCCAAATAACCGGAATTTTGTCAAACTATTCGAAAATTTTACAAGTATCTCGCATATAATATATTTAGTCTTAAATATTTCAATATAAGTGCATTTAATTTTTGGTAATTACTCTCATGTATTTGGATATAAATGTATTTAGCTCGAATATTAGATATATATAAAGTTTTTATATGTAATTTCGGGTAATCGGGAACCTGTTCTGGTATCGGATTCGGATCGAGTTTTACCCTATACCCACGGATCCGACAATACAAGACCCAATAGGGTAAATAGCGAATACCCGTACCCGCCCCGAATCGATTTTTTTGGGTCGGTTTCAGTTCGGGTACTCGGGTACGGTTTTTTGCCCAAGCCTATCCTAAATTGTGTTACATGAAAAACCCAATTGTCAATTTAAGTCTACCAGAAATGAGAGGCCCAAACAGCCTAAGCTCATATAGGAAAGGCCACAAAGATATGATAACGTAAACATACACGTAAGGTCGTTAGCCTATACTTGCAAGTTACTTTGAGATCGATGTATTTACAAATATAAAATCGAATCGTGTCTTCTCACTTGCCTTACACATACATGACCAGACACAAAGCATCATCATCCTTGAAGCAAAATCAAGAAATGGCATAATCTCTTTGCTCATCAACTCTTATAGTCATCTTCAATTCATTAAATTTCTCCAAGTTATATTTATAGGACCCTCCATAATCTCAACCTCCAAAGCTTCAACATGGGAACATTGGTGGGTCACATTTTACCGGGCTTTTTTTTCTTTGCACTTGGTCTTTGGCACCTCTTTAACCACATCAAATTATTTTCTCTACACTCAAAATCATACATAGCACCTTTATGGTTCCCCTTATCCAAACCAAGATATTTAGAGCCTATCTTGATCATTATAGGCTCCTCACTTTCCATTTCTGTGGAACTCTTCCTTGGCCAAAAGAATCACCAACCATTTGATCCCAATGATGGAACCATACCATCAAACCATCTCCATAACTTTGAACACTCTTGCATCTCCTTCACCATCATCACCTATGCAGCTTTCGCTATCGTCTTTGATAAAACAAGTCCAATGGCTCATCGGGCCCTCATCAACTTGATTGCGGCCCTCGCCTTCGCCCAACAACTCTTCCTCTTCCATTTCCACTCGTCAGACCACACGGGCGTTGAGGGCCACTACCATTTGTTGCTCCAAATCGTAGTTTTTGTCTCTTTGGTCACAACACTCTTGGGAATCGCCTTACCAAGTAGCTTCATGTTGAGTTTTGTTCGATCACTTAGTGTTTCCTTCCAAGGAATATGGCTTATGTCAATGGCTTGCATGCTTTGGACGCCAAGTTTGGTCCCCAAGGATTGTTTTCTTCACATTGAAGAGGGTAAACATACCATTAGATGCTCAAGCGTCAAAGCTCTTCATAGAGCAATATCATTGGTAAATATCCAATTCAGCTGGTTTCTTGTGATCATAACCATCTTTGCAATGTGGTTTTATATATTTTTGCAAAGGATCTACGGTGAGAAAATAGAATATTCTCAGCTTCGAACAAAGGAATCCAAAAACATGGAGATCATGATGACCATGGCTGCAGTATAACCCAAAAACTACCAGTTTCTCATAATGTTTTCTTATTCCAATTTATAGAGATCATGTGTATAAACATATTGTGTATTTATTTAAATGACACTAAAAAATTTAGATGAGACGTGGCAATTACGTCAACAATTTTTTCTAGTGAAAAAAAACAGAGTCAAAGTAATCTCAAAAAACGATTTTCTACATAATCCATTAATTGCAGAAGTCTTCTCTCTCTCTCTACCCTCAAACAAAGTATGGCCCTTTATCGTTTCTTCATCTCAATCGTCTTCTTCTCTCTGACCCTCTTCACTACGACGACCCATTCCCTCTACGAACCCGACCCGGATTCGATTTCCACCGTTTACGAACTTCTTCCAAAGTACGGTCTCCCAAGCGGTCTCTTACCGGACTCCGTCACCGATTTCACCCTCTCCGACGATGGCCGATTCGTTGTTCACTTGCCCAGTTCCTGCGAAATTGAATTTGACTACCTCGTTCACTACGACAAGACTATATCTGGCCGTATCGGTTACGGCTCAATCACCGAACTCAAGGGTATTCAGGTGAAGAAATTCTTTATTTGGCTCGATGTCGATGAAATCAAGGTCGATCTTCCGCCATCTGATTCCATCTACTTTAAAGTTGGGTTTATCAATAAGAAGCTTGATATTGACCAGTTTAAGACTGTACATTCGTGTCACGACAATGGTGTCTCTGGTTCGTGTGGTGATTCATGGAAGAGTTTCCTCGAGGTAAAGATAAGATCTTGCTTTTCTGGGTTCTTGAATTTGATGTGAATCTTCTTATGGATTGATGAATAACGTTGGTTGACTTCGATGATGGAGAGTCTTATTTGAAATGTCCTGACTTTCTAGTAATAACGAATCAATTGTGACACCATGATTTAGATGGTGGTTCGAATTAGCTTCCGTGAATTTAGCTGATATGTTGAAGATATTTCTGGGTTTTAGGGTTCTTGAGGATTTATAGGAAAATGGTTTTGTCTGAGATACTAATAGATTCTGGAATCTATCTCTGAATTTCTGAGATCAAGTTTTCAGTTGGTTTTGTGCATTGACCATTGTTGGATTTGTAGATTGTTTCTTCATATCTTAGGCATGGATTATGTATGGGTATATAGTTCTGATGAATGCAAAATACACATTTATTGAGGAACAACATGAACATGGTAGCTTTCTCAAAATTTAACCACAAAAGGCTAAAAGCAAAGTCCTTGGGGAATCAGAGTAAACTTGGGAAAGGGTTGAGATGTATTTTATCTTAGATTTGAGAGAAGAAACCATATTTAATGCTTTCACATTACTGTTTTTTGATTTGTTGTAGGACATACATCTCTGAAACTGATAGTAGCAGTTTTTTTCCTCTGTTTGATTCTCTTTTGTTAAAAGTGATAGCTTAATGGGTAGCTGATAAAAGTGAAAATGCTGTTTGTTTATGATACTATAGCAAGTCATTCTGCATTTCTTGCAATGTCAGTTGTTCTTTCTTGCTGCAATGTACAAGCCTCTAACAAATGTTTTCCGATCTTTGATGGTTTTTGTCTGGTTCCTGGAATGATAATTGGCTTAGATCGTTTCAAACCAGCCAACCCGCAAAAGTGATTCAGGCTGGTTTGCAGGAAATTGTTGTTACTTGCAATAACAGACGTTTTTTGTTTTTCTCAGAAAGGGCAAGGAATGATGGATGAAGCGGAAATGTTAATCACCGAGTAAAACACTCTTTGCAATCACAGAGTCTGCAACAACACGCAGATAGAGTTGAGTCTCAAGTCAAGTTTGTACATATAAATACAATAACTGGACAAGTCTTTTTATAAGACTTGGTATGAAATGTTGATATATCCATTATGTACGTCTTGTTAAAACTGGTTCCACAAAAATGTTGTATCCCGGAGTTCTTTCCTCACCACCATAGTAGACTCTGGCCGTTAAGTTCCTTACTACTAGTAGTTGTATCATGTAGGGCATAACGAATGGAAGATGCATTCTAAGAGCCGATAGGTTGTTTCAAATACTACATTAGAAAGTGATCTTAGTAATCTTAAAAGACTATACTAAGAACATGTTAAGTTCGAAACCATCAATCAATCAATCATTCTTGGTGACAGTAAGGGTTTTAGTGGCTGTGATGAAGGGAAATTGTTGAGCAAGCCTTGGTGGTTGGGTTAGTGGTTTTGAACTACCGATTCGAAAATCATGGTGACTGAAAATATGTCGAACAAGATGGTCGAAACTTCTTTTCTCCATTGGTAACAAAATTGTTCTGGCCTTTTTGATTATGCCTTAGATTCATAATCATTATAGACTGATGCCCGAACTCGTGATTTGGAAGACTTTCTCCCATGTTTTTTCTAAGTTACAACATACAAGACGACAAGAAATACACCTTATTCTAGGGAGGCGTCCACGTAAACCCGAAAGCCCACCCGGTGCTTTTCTACTTTGCCTTTGCTTGTTAGGAAAAATAAATAAATATCACAAGTCCCTGATTTTGACTGGCTAAGATTCAACGGCCATTTTCCATCTTACAGACCCAATTCGTGTTTTCTGTTTTGTAGTAGTAATACAAAAGAGGGTCAGGATTCTATCTTTCATATTCTTTTCCCACTGGTTCTTACAAATCGATCTAAGGAATCTATCTACCAACTGTTTGGTGATTTCTGGTGGGAAAAGTCTTGATCTTGCTGTTTGGTTTGGAGTAATGGTGGGTGCTTGGTTTGTTGTTGGCTCACCGGTGATGGACTCTTCGAGCAGTCCATGTTTGTGCCTGGATGCTCACACGATGGGTAACATCAGGAGGAAGAAGATCCTTGGCAGTGCAAGAAATCTGGAATTAGGAAGCTCTTTTACTGGCTCACGCATTGTTTTTAGGCTTTCTCCGAAGCGTGTATCGAGAATTGCGAATCGAAAGAGCAAAAAGCTCTTGATTGTGAATGAGGATGTTGCTGGGAATTACGAAGATACCTTCGGTGATGTCCAAAAGGTGAGAACTTTTGCATGAAACCTCCTTGTTTTTATAGAGAAAGATTTGACAAAAGATCGACCTTTTAAATTTTTGCAGCAAATTGTTAATTATTTCACATACAAAGCTGTGAGGACGGTTCTTCATCAGCTCTACGAAATGAATCCTCCTCATTACACTTGGTTCTATAAGTAAGTTTCTTATGGTTTATCATTTGATGAAGTTGTGTATAGGATTAGATTTAACAGAAACACTTTACTCCGATCATTTTTTTACCTTGTGGTATTAATTGTGTTTCTCCTTTGTTATACAACAGTCATATCATAACAAACAGACCAACGGATGGCAAACGTTTTCTTCGCGCCCTCGGCAAGGTAAAAATGTTTAGTTTATATCTTACCAGAAGCAGCATCATCTGATAAGCAAAGATGCGTTGGGTGTAGCTGAACAAGTTCAGCTGGTGTACTATAACTAGCCTAGGACTAAATGTAGCGGATTGTATGTAGCTGTGGTGAGTTGGTTAGTTAGCAATTAGTGAGGACTGAAGTTTATAAGACTTGTTGTCTCTGGTTTTGTGAATTGGAACAAGGAAAACAGTTCCATAGATTTCTTCTTATCATTATCGCTCTGTGTTGCGATTAACTATGTTTGATTCAACCTTGGTTAGAGCTTGGTATGGAAGATATCAACAAGGGGAGAACGAGGAGTACTTTTGTGTGTTTATCTGAGAGCATCATAAACACAGACATTGAATTTTTTCTTTTTGTCTCAACTACTTGTAGGAGAGTCAGGAGCTTGCAGAAAGAGTGATGATCACGCGTCTTCACTTGTATGGCAAGTGGATCAAGGTAAAATCACCAGCTAAATAAATCTCGCTCCAGTCTCGGTTCATGTGTGTTTTCCCTCCCTGTCATGGGAACCTGAAAATACCAAAATCTAAGGTTGTATAGTTTGTTGTGTAGAAATGCGACCATGGGAAGATATACCAAGATATATCGGATGAGAACTTGGCGTTGATGCGTGAACGCCTGATGGAGACAGTGATATGGCCTTCTGATGACTCGGAGGTTATTGGCTGAAGAAGGCTGCACACACCACAGCACAGCATTTGCTTTGTCAAATTGCTTCTCAGTTTTTAGGACTTTGAGTTTTTTAGTTTGATTACAAATTATTATAGTTCAAAGAGCAGTGTGTATATGATTATGTCTATCTCTTGGCATGTACTATATGGATATTAGGGGCTAAAACAATACCCTTCTTGTGCTCGGATACTTTCTCAGTCATCTATCCCTCTCACATTAAAATTATTACCATGTCAACAGCATAAACTAACATGATATTTGTCTAAAACAAGCGTGAAGTTCCTACTATAGTACTATTTGAGAGATTCATAAAATCTCTACCATGCTCTTATTAAGATGCAATCACAGGCTTAAATGCAATGACGTGGGCATGATTAAGGAAAATAACGGTTGGTCCAAATCGGAACACTTGTCCTCGTAACAACTTCAAAAAAGTTTTTGACTTTTTGAGTAAAAGATATTACAGTCCTCCTCACTCAGCGCGAAACCACGCCGAAAAATTCATGGCGAAGACTAGCATTTTTGCTGCTCCACCTTTTACCAACTTCGAATTCCCGTCGCTGTTCCGTGTCAAGAACTCTTCGATTATCAGTTTCACCGAAACCAATTTACTCCGACAATCGATTTCGACCGGTATCGTAAGAACTCCGACTCCAAGGGGAATTGGGTTCGTCTCATGTTCTTCGGTCACGGACGAAGCTTCTTCTGAAGAGCTACAAGTTCGAACCTTGTAATATCACCTTCCTGTTTCTTCTGCAATCTATGTATAAACTTTGATTAAATCCATAGATTGACGAAATGCGAGTGTTTGCAGGACATGGAGGTGGAAAGGTTATTCGATAAGATATCAGTGTGCTGGAACCAGTGGCCCTGCCTTGGTCTTGGTTCATGGTTTCGGTGCTAACAGGTCTAACTCATTACCTGTTATTAACATATTATTGACTCTTAAAAAAGCATTCTCTTAAGTTGAGGTTTTGAATTCTTGATTAGGGAATGAGAACCATGGTTTCAACAAAGCACTTTCCTCACATGTTTCTGTTCTGTTACCAGTGACCATTGGAGGAAGAACACACCTATTCTTGGGAAATCACACAGGGTGTACTCAATCGATCTTATCGGATATGGATACTCCGACAAACCGAATCCTCGGGACTTTGGTGGAGAACCATTCTACACTTTTGAGACATGGGGTGAGCAACTCAATGATTTCTGTCTGGATGTGGTCAAAGATGAAGCCTTCTTTATTTGCAACTCTATTGGAGGTAGAGCTCCTAAGTTGCAACTCTTTCGGGTTTTGAGTTTTTTTTTTTTTTTTTTTTTTGGGTTCAGTAATGACAGAGAGATTGGTTTTCATTAGGACTTGTTGGTCTTCAGGCAGCAGTAAGTAAGCCAGAGATATGCAGAGGGCTTATGCTTATAAACATATCGCTCCGCATGCTTCATATCAAGAAACAACCATTCATTGGAAGACCTTTCATCAAATCATTCCAGAATTTACTTAGGTATTGTATGCCTGCTTCACCAAGATCTTCTTTGCTGTTGCAGCTGAATATATTATCATGTCGGTCTCAGGAATACTCCGGTTGGAAAATTATTTTTCAAGAGCATTGCTAAACCGGAGACGGTAAAAAGCATTCTTTGCCAGGTATTGATGGAGTTGCATCTGAAAACACAAGAATCAGTTTTATATTTTGTAGTGAGCTTAAGGAAAGTTTGTTTGTTTTTAAATATTTGCAATTAGTGTTACCATGATAGCTCGCAAGTTACCGATGAACTAGTTGAGGCAATTCTACGTCCAGGGCTTGAGCCTGGCGCAGTTGATGTCTTCCTCGAATTCATCTGTTACTCCGGGGGACCGCTTCCAGAGGATTTACTCCCACTGGTCAAGGTTCGTTACTTTGGTCTCCTCCTTGACCATAGCTAAAACTAAACCTTAGTCTAATTTCTCTAACTGTTGCAGTGCCCGGTTCTAATTGCATGGGGAGAGAAAGATCCATGGGAGCCAATCGAGCTTGGACGAGCGTATAGCAATTTTGACGCGGTTGAAGATTTCGTTGATCTTCCTGATGCCGGCCACTGTCCTCAGGTATCTCTCTCTGCCTCCCTCTGAAGATGGAAATGCAGCAAATAACCTTTGTTTTCTTATTATTATGTTTCTGTAAAATTTGCAGGACGAGAAGCCGGAGATGGTGAACTCACTTATTAAATCATTCGTTGCGAGACATTGAAAGTTCAACACATCCATCCCCCAGACATTTAATCTCTGTAGCTTTTTATATATCTGTACAGAAACACATCTTGTGAACCTGCAGTCCTGCACGAACACTGAGTTGTGCATGAACAGTCGGGTGAGATTTTTCATAAGTGACAAAACTGTGATTGTATGGGTACAGATGTTGATGGAGTAAAGAGCTTGGTAAGAGAAACAAACCTTTTTCTTCCAAACCCAATGGAAATACAAGACTTTCAAGTTTCAACACAAGAATTCATGATTGGTTTCCATTAAACATAGACACATTTTCTTGCAATACCTATATCTAACAAATTAGCAAACCATACATCACTTCCTTTTTTCCTATTCAAAATTCTGGTTTTGTCGACTATACGATTCAAAAGCTCCCGCCCCCATTGGCCATGAAATAAATAGTAATCCTATTCGATGGCAGAAAAAATGCTAATGAGAGTGAAAGGAGCACCTTCCAATATAAACAGCAACATTTTTATCAGTTTCCTAACTAACACGGCACTACCAACATGCTCTCTCAGTCTCTCTTGTCCGATCACATTCATCTGGCCACCACAAACGACCACACCCAAGACCCTTCAAATGTTTATTGTTGGTGAAGCAATGTTGACCCCCAAATACTTGTCTAGTACACTCTTAAATGCCTGTATAACAAAAGTAGATAAATTTTTTATGTCCATGTGGATCTTCAAAGCATTTTCTCATAAGTCTTTCCTGCATCAACTAGTCAGATAAAGTTCTCTAGTACGGAGAAAGCCCGAGTTAACAATGTGGATTCATGTAACTAGTTTGTGCAAGTATCAGCCTAATGCCAAAACATTTATCTCCTTCGATCTTATGTTGGTTCACACTCAACAAAGAGATGCTAGAGATTTATGTAACCAGGTTTATGCAGATATCAGCATGATGCCAAAATTTTATCTCCTTTGAGTTCATGGTGGTTCACAGTCAACAAAGTGATGCTAGAGAACATACCTGAAATGCAAAAGACTCTTTCCTACTTAAAATTATATCCATCGCAGCTGCTTCATCATCGAATGCACCATAAAATTCCCGAAAGAACTGGTTTCTAAGAATTGGAAACGAAAAAAAGAAGAGAGATAACAAGTTACTCTCCAGTTTCAAAGTATGGAAATAGAAACACAACAATGCTTCAGGACAAAACCTATCTTCTTCACCAGTCTGTTGGTCAATCTCATCAAACTTCTGTGTTAGAACTTCCGCAGCAATGGGTGAGAGCATGTGGAGTATTAATGCTTCTAAGGTTCTTGGGAAATAACGCTGAAATGAGTTACATGATAGGACCAAATAAATTCAAAGGATTTTCACTCAAAAATCTTATGTAAAACTAAAACGAAAATCTCCATTTTGACCAAAATGATGAAGTAAAAATAGTTATTGACTCCAGCTAAGGGAATTCCATGTGAGGATAAACACAGTAAAGTGATGCATTTTAGAGTTAACTTACTGCCATTGCAAGGAGAACATCTCGAAGTCTAGATGCTTCAAGATTCCAAAGCAAATGGGCAACGCGATCATCTTCTAAACAAGACAAGGCATTCACCAGGAACTTGCTTTTTTCGCCCTCTGAACAACTGGGTGAAGTGTGTTGGAGTCCCTTACTTGTATCAACAGCATTAACGTGGTCATGGACTAAAGAAATAAGCTCATGAAGCGCCTGGGAAGCAGAAGGATCTAGATCATGCAGCGACGCTTTTTCATGCAATGTGCTGAGGCCCTTTTTAATGCTTTCATTACCTACATTATCATTCCCACCTTCTGCAGTCATTTAATCACCGGCCAAGTCAGGTAAACAATTATAAGGTTTTCTCAGGATTTAACCATCAGGGTCTTACCTGCCATCCCAATGTGTGATTGGTCAATATGCTCAGACTGGTGCCTTAAATCAGTTGAAGAAGGCTTCGAGACTAACAGGCTCTGTCAATATACATGTTACACCGGTAAATAGAAGGTAGAAAACTTCGTAAATGCAAGCAAAGATGAGAAGACGAACATACACTTTTAGCTTAAAATAATGATGAGTAAAGAAATATATCATAACTCCAACAATCTTTACTGATGAGACAGAATAACTTACACACCATTTCTCTGTCTATCAATCTTAATGGATGACACAAGATCCAGGCACATGCAAGAAAATAAGAACAGAATTCAGGCAACAAAACAAATATGGTAATGCAAAAAGATATTCTGTATAAGAACCCAAGATGTGTAATCAAGACCTTCTTGCGATTCGGCGCAGATAATATGAATCCATGTGTTCAGGCATGTTAGACATAATGTTTGATTGCCACCAAAAGTTGACAGCAACAGTCAGCTCTTCACTATCCACCTGATGGAACCTGCATAAGTAGAATGAAACTTAATCTGAAATAATCCATCAACCTGCCTACTGAATGTTCTCGCATTAAACCTATGAGGCTTAAGTGTCGAAGCTTCGATACTTACAATTATCTTACAAGGTACTTCTCCTAACTAAACAAGTGTCACTTTCATTAGCATGATTCTGACTTTCTGAGTAAGCTAGCTAACCAAAATGACATCTCAAGCATCTTTGTTTGTGTTTGAGAATTAAACCTAAAGGACCTCATGTCAAGCATCTGAATTAGAGGCTCTAGGCATATGCATACGATATGACATAGACTATATACAAACCCACACACTAAAGAAAGACGGAGATAGTTTAGAGATTTCTTTTGCATACATTATTGAAATAACTGCAACTTCTACAATAGCGGCTCAGCCAGAAAAAGCTATATAACGGAGACATGATAACTACAAGTGAAACAGTTTGACACAGATGATGCAGGATAGCTTAGAATAGCCAGAAAAAGCTATGCCTTACTAAGACATCTTTTATGAGTAAATACGAGTATACTCACCAACCCTCAGGAATGAATACTGCATCACCAGCATTAAGAATAACCTTCTGTGACTGCTTCAGAGAATGCTCTGCTCTTGGATAATATGATAAATTCGGGTTTTCTAGACCAACCGAACTACAGGAACAACAAATATAAATGCAATTAAAATCTCATAAATAAACATTGGCATAGAAAATCATTGATACCGCTAAGGTGCAGTAACTGCAGTGCGTGCTCATGATGTAACCACAAAGCAAATTATATGAAAAGTCCAAGAATGATACCTATGGTTTGACGCTTCTCCGTATATAGGCATCGGGTAGAGCGAGGGACTTGCAGAAGGGGGCCACAAGACAACTGTTGATGATTTTTGGAGGTCGAAATTGATTTAGATGGAAGAAGTCATAAAACATATAGTTAAATCACTGAATCGGCCAATATTTCAGAATGAATCTTATACTGACTTCAAACGAGCTGACTTAACATTCTATAAACCATATGCCCTAAATTTCTGTGAAGCAATTTCATTAATACTTGGACCATACATTTCTAAAAACTTCCTGACAGTTTATCACGAAAGAAAACAATGGATTAACCTTTTTTACGCCCTGAGACTACGCATAAAAGGTTATGATGTGGATCATAGTGGGTACTTGATCGAGCTTGTGCAGAATTCATCCAAAAGTTGATAGAAGACAATGACTTTTCCCCTAAAAGTGTGGGCTGCATCAATTCAGATAGTTGATGGTAAGAAAGTTCAAGTAACCAGCTTTGCAGTCACAAGAGTTGAAAGAAGTATGCATACCGTCTGGATGTCTTGTCTCAGAATCTTAAGTTGAACCTTCTCTTCTTTCTCGTCATTCAGAATTGGAAACTGGAACAAAGTACATATATATATATGTGTATGTTCAACACAAGGGCAAACATATTCATACACGAGAAGCACAAAGACGAAAACTGAATATCATCTGAACCTGTGCTAGGTATATTTGTCCAGGTCTATAGTCCTCGGGCATAGGAGTTAAATCTGCAGACTTAGCATCAACATCAGAACCATTCCCTTTGTCACTGATATGCTGCTTGCAGAATCTGATAAAATCCGAGAAGGGCAATGATACCTACAGGACACAGAAAAACATTGTGGTAGATACAACAAAGCTAAATTACCAGAAACAATTACAGCTCAAATCAGCAAATTTCTAGCTAGATTGGCAAAGAATCCGGCTACAACAAGATAGTAACTCAAGAGACGAGCCAATCTGTTTGAGAACCGAGAAATGGGGGTTTCTTTTACCCTATCATGGCTTCTGATATCACCGTTGAAAATTGGAGCCGTCCTTGAAAGCATTGCCTCCACTTCAACTGAACCTGCACGTTCCTTCATAAAATCCAATTGACGACGCATAAGATTACACAATCTTCAAGGAAACGAAATCGGAATCAAGTGGGAGGGTAAGAACACTACCTCCAGATAATCAAGTCCACTGTTGAATGGATTCCACTTAGAATACGCATCCCAGTCGCTAGCACATCCTCGAAAAACCTCCAAAAGAAGAAAGCAAATTACGAATCAGACGACTAATCAGATTCAGCGGGAGAAAGAAAGAAAGAGAGGTATATTCAGGTGAATTACTGCAGGGAAGTTGGTGAGTTCGACGGTAGACTCGAAGTCGGCGGCAGAAAGAGCACTCTCGAAGGTTTGAATCTTCGGAAACTCGCATCCCATCGGCATACTTCTACAGGCCGCCGGGATTTCGTTAAAACTCCAAACTTCAAAAAGTTCAGTTACGACTGAAGATGCAACCTCTTGCGTTTACAACGACTTGCGACTATACAAGTTTTTGTATCCAACAATAACATGGGAAGATAAATTCGTGTAAACAAGATTCTCACTAATTCAAGTTTAGGTCAAATGTTAAAATCAGTACTGTATTTCTTGTAATTAATTCAGATAATTTCGTGTAATCCGGAATGGACAGCCTTATTAGGCATGCCAGCCATGGAGAATGGTTACAAAAATCTGAAATCTAGAAAAAGATTATTTGAAAAAAAAATATGTAAATCCAGGTCTGCCACAAGATGAGAAATATATATACATGACTTTACTATGGGTATTCAAAAACACATAAAAGGCACTTCCGTAATCAAACTCATCTTTGATGAATATGACTAGAGAGCATTTGGTCAAGCTGCAATTATTGTGTGTTGTCTTAAGTGTTTGTACTTCTGTTCAACGTTAAACAATCTCCAGCTTTCGCCAAAGTCTTTAGACAAGACCAGCTTCAGAGCGTCCACCCCTTCGGCTAAAGCTTTATCCATCTTTTCGAGAAACACACATGGAGCCATACATAAATCCATTTCCTCATGGTGATATAAGCCACAATGGTTCAATGTCAATAATATAGGCTCAAAGACTTACTCGTTCACGAGCTGGCACGCTAAACTTCTGCAATAAGAATGCCTTTGGGTCCATTTGTCCTGGAGGATTTCCAATTCCTTGCCATTGTCGGATATAACGATAATAATATCTCGATTTAGAATTAAAGCATGTTCATGAGATAGAGAAAGTGTTAGTGGAAGAGAGGTCGAAACCAACCGATTCTTAGCCTTGCAAATTCCCTGTTGCCTCGGAAATGGTTCATTACACTTTTTAACCTGAGAAGAACACAAGAATGATAACTACCATATACAATAATGTCAGTAATACCCCCCAAACAAGTACAAACATACGATTTTCAATATGGTGATTTGCATATTATGATGGTAGAAACTACGGTCTGAAACATGTGACAAAAATTATCTTATAAGAACCAGGAAAAACTTAAGAACGTTATTGATGAACTCTGTTTTACACATGACCGCAAACTAGTAAGAAAAATGTGATTCCCATACCCATTGTGACATCCATGGCCTCCTTTTTCTTGAAGACGAAGAACACCACATGGCAATTGCATGTCATCATGCACCTACATCACCAAATCCCAGAGTAACAATGGAATTAAACGTTTTCTGGTAAAACAAATCGTAAGAATGGTTAGGGCTTCAGCCAGAAACAGTAATAGGATTTACCACAAGCACACGATTGAGAGGTAACTTGTAATAAGCCGCGAGAGGTCCACTCTGACCATTTAAGGAGAGGCGCAGTTACTAACACAATCAACCAAAGCTAAAATGCTACATAATGAAGCTACATCAAAGATAGAAATAGGTAAATACAGCTAATTTAATCGGAATGATAAGCACTTAAGAAGCAGTAGATTTTTATGACCATACATTTCTACAATACACTAAAATACTGTAATGAGGAAGCTTCTCAACAGGCCTTTAACATGTCAGAGAATGCTTAACCTTGGTTTAGATATCAATGGCTGTAGATGATGTTCAAGAATATGCTTGGAAAAAAAGACCAGTCTTTAAGCCTCATGAATCATTCAGATACCTCTACTTTTTCTACACAGCCTGAGTCTCATAATTTGATATGCCTAGAATCCCTAGATGCCATAAAATCTACACAAAAATTTCAAGACTCATAGTAAGAATAGGAGAAGCAGATTACTGATTCACCGCTCAGGTTCATGTAGGTTTGCGGCTTTGCCAGGATAACAGGGAGATCATCCACGAAACCTGAGAGATGACAACACAAAAATGGAAGCCCTAAATTTCAACATCAAACTCACACAGTTTAAACAACTCATGTAACTCCCATACCTTGTCCCATTATAGCCTTGAAATTTACCAGGTTCATCTGAATACCCACTGACTCAGCAAAAACATCAATCATTTCGAACCCAATCTGCAAAACAAGAGCAGACATCTAAAATCAACACAACCAGATCCGAGTTATGTTAAATGCATTATCACAAAAGAAAAAAACATTAGAGTACGTTGTGTCTAGTCCCTTTGTATTTGTCCCCTGGATTGCCCAATCCCAAAAACAGCCATGGCCGATGAACAGAAGTGCAATAGCAACGCCTTGACAACATACTCAGCATAGCTTCAAGGATCCCTAAACCCCAATTTACCAAACCAAGCAATCTGAACAGAGGAAAATAATAATTTCCCAGATTAGTGTATAAAAAAACTACAAATTAGTCTTCTATGCGTGAATTCTCAACACAGAAGCGCTGATACTAAAATCGATGTTATAAACTTAGATTGGCTATACACTTATAGAATGAGAGGAGAGTTGCAGTTATCCGGAGTCGTAGCGAATGTGACGGTTGGAGAAAAGGATTTGGAAAGAGGATACAGAGAAACGACGAGTGACTCGGACTGTTTAGACAGAGAAAAGGATTAGGTTCTGATATGCAACTCTGAGAATTACAAAAAATAATATTTATTTTATACCAACATTACTAGTATAGCTGTATTAGTTAGTAGTCACTATACTTTTTTTGAATTTCAGTGAAATCTGAACTTGAGTGTTTTTGTAGAATTTCACATTTTTTTAACACAAAGTTAAACAAGACCTAGCATCGTCCAATATAGCGCAGGAGTTTTCGGCCTCACAATGATTCATAATTTTGGAAATGCTTCCATTTCACTGAAAACTCATTTTCCGTCCTCTAGAATTCATCCAATTCTATAGTACTATTACATCTCAGAATTTGTTTTAGCGGCAGCATTACTATTGCATTGAAAACCCCAAAAAATGGTGAAGAGAATTCCATTTCTGATTAATTTGAGGTAGGTAGGTTGTAGTATGTTAATAGGCTTGGGCTGTTAGCCCATTAAAGAGTTTAAGATTGGTTACGGAGTTGATCGGATCCCATGAAATTTTGCAGTAAAATCAACTCTGTAAAATTTTAAACACTTCCATATGAAGTTTTACAGTAAAGATACTTTTTTCACTTTATAAATGACGTGATAATGGCATGCAAACTCGGTTCAAAACACTCCAAATTCATTATGGTTATAAATCCATGAATAATGGTCCTTTACTTCCATACTAAAAACATGGATTCCATATTTGTAAGATAATAACCTAAAAAAAAATTATCATTCATCTATCACATTATCATTGAAGATAATAACATTTATAAAAATTATTTGCTTAAAAAGTATTTTTATTTATTATATATATTGGAAATAATTGAAAACTTAACTTTAAATAAATTTATAAAAGGAAAACACGCATTGGTGATCAATTTATCATCCACCCTTGAAATACAGCTAATGACATTATCATTGTTTTGCTTTTCTTTTTTTCCTTAATTTAATTTCTTCCAGGGCCCCACACCACCTCAAATCACGAATACATAATAGTTGGAAAATAAATGGAAATAAAAAATAAAAAAATATAATTATCTCTTCACAACCTCATCCCTCCTTCGATACCTCCTTCCTTCATTCCTCTTACTCTCTCTCTCTATAGACTCTCGTATCCTTAAGGGGAGAGAGATAGCTTTAGCCACTTTTTAACCCTAGTTTTTCCCGCCGCCACCTTCCACCATGGCTTCCGAGGCGAATCAGCTTCAACAAGCGCAACTCGCGATGGTTCTCGGCTCCGATTCGGCCCCCTTCGAGACGCTAATCTCTCACCTCATGTCTTCTTCCAACGAGCAACGTTCCTCCGCCGAGGCTCTTTTCAATCTCGCTAAGCAAAGCAATCCCGATACCCTTGCCTTGAAGCTAGCTCATCTTCTTCAGCTTTCTCCTCATCCTGAAGGTCGTGCTATGGCCGCCGTCCTTCTCCGCAAGTTGTTGACACGCGACGATGCTTATCTATGGCCTCGTCTCTCCCTATCCACTCAATCTTCCCTCAAATCTTCGATGTTGTCTTGTATTCAGCGTGAGGAGGCTAAATCGATCTCTAAGAAGATTTGCGATACAGTCTCTGAACTTGCATCGGGGATTTTGCCGGAGAACGGATGGCCGGAGTTGCTTCCGTTTGTTTTCCAGTGTGTTTCATCTGATTCCCCTAAATTGCAGGAATCGGCGTTTTTAATCTTGGCGCAATTATCGCAGTATGTTGGGGAAACTCTGACCCCTCACATCAAGCTTCTCCATGGCGTGTTTCTCCAGTGCCTGAGTAGTAACTCTGCTAGCTCCGATGTTAAAATCGCCGCTCTGAACGCCGTGATTAGTTTCGTTCAGTGTCTGTCGAACTCAACGGAGAGAGATAGATTCCAAGATGTTTTGCCTGCCATGATCAGGACGTTGACCGAATCTCTGAACAACGGGAACGAAGCAACTGCACAGGAGGCTCTTGAGCTTTTGATTGAATTGGCTGGTACCGAGCCACGGTTCCTTAGACGGCAGCTTCTTGACATAGTTGGTTCCATGCTTCAAATCGCAGAGGCTGATTCCTTGGAGGAAAGTACCCGTCATCTTGCGATTGAGTTTTTGGTAACTCTGGCCGAGGCGCGTGAGCGTGCCCCTGGTATGGTCAGGAAGCTCCCTCAGTTCATTGACAGATTGTTTGCGGTTCTTATGAAGATGCTCGAGGATATTGAGGACGATCCTGCTTGGTACAGCGCTGAGACTGAGGACGAAGATGCCGGCGAGACCAGTAACTACAGCATGGGTCAAGAGTGTTTGGATCGGTTGGCAATTTCTTTGGGAGGAAACACCATTGTTCCGGTTGCATATCAGCAGTTTTCTGCTTACTTGGCTGCCTCTGAGTGGCAGAAACACCATGCTTCTTTGATTGCACTTGCTCAGATTGCTGAAGGTTGCTCAAAGGTATAATTGTTAGTGATGGCAGTTGAATAACATGTCTTAATTTACTTTTTCCTCATTGTTTCTGCTTTCAATTGGATGTTAAATAATGATTGATTCTGAGTCGATTTATCTTGGGAGGACCTGCAAAACACATACATCACTTTGGGGTTTTCAATCTGATATTGAATATCTTGACTTTGATGTAGGTGATGATAAAAAATCTAGACCAAGTGGTGTCCATGGTTTTGAGCCAGTTTCAAAGTCCTCATCCCCGCGTAAGGTGGGCTGCTATAAATGCGATTGGACAGTTGTCTACAGATTTGGGTCCAGATTTGCAAAACCAACATCATGAGAGAGTGCTCCCTGCACTTGCTGCCGCTATGGATGATTTCCAGAATCCACGAGTGCAGGTAAGATCCCCTGTTTCTTTGTGAATATAATCTTCTGAAACTTCTAAAGCAGTACCTTGTGACCTTTTCATGTAGGCTCATGCTGCTTCAGCAGTACTCAACTTCAGTGAAAATTGTACACCTGAAATATTGGCACCTTATTTAGACGGAGTAGTGAGCAAGTTGCTTGTGCTACTACAAGTAAGTCCATTGTGTCAATTATTTCTTAAGATGAGTAACTATAAAAGAGCAAATATCTTGCTGGCACTCTATTGATTTTAAAGGATTGACTTTGGATTATAATGGTGTTTCTTACAGAATGGTAAACAAATGGTGCAAGAAGGAGCTTTAACTGCTCTTGCTTCAGTTGCTGATTCATCACAGGTATTTGTAAAGAATTTGTGTTGCATCTATTGTTTTCCTTACATTCAACTCTTGATCTAACATAATCTAATTTTGTAGGACCACTTTCAAAAGTACTATGATGCTGTCATGCCGTATCTCAAAACTATTTTGATGAATGCAACTGACAAGTCTAAGCGGATGCTTCGTGCCAAATCCATGGAGTGCATCAGTCTTGTTGGAATGGCAGTTGGAAAGGACAGATTTAAGGATGATGCTAGGCAGGTATGCTTATCTGCGTGGGTCAAATCAATTTGTAGTTACTATTTAAATTGATGCTATATGCAGTTATCCTATTCACCATCGCATGAAAATATTTCACATGTCCATGCCAGGTCATGGAAGTGCTAATGTCATTGCAAGGGTCTCAGATGGAGGCAGACGATCCAATAACGAGTTACATGTTACAGGTGAATTCTAACAACATGCTAGGTCTATCTGTTATTTATAAACATAAACAGGTAAGTTCACTTGCTTACAGTTACCTTACACTTTCGCAGGCATGGGCTAGGCTTTGCAAGTGTCTAGGTCAAGATTTCCTCCCATACATGAGTGTTGTGATGCCTCCTTTGCTTCAGTCAGCTCAACTTAAGCCAGATGTAACAATTACATCTGCTGATTCAGAAGATGAAGCAGAAGATTCTGATGATGAAAGGTTTCTATTCTTCTTGACACTCCATCTGATTGTTATGATATCTCTGTACCTTGCGTTTATTTAGTTCTGATGCCTTTGCATAGAAAAACAATTCTTCTCTGGGTTGTTGGAGGTGCAGCGGCCCTCCCTGCATTTGCTTTTCCTGAGATATTTAACGATGCTGAGATTCTGTCCATATTATGATATGATATGTTTTAAGATATCATCCGTAAATAACATACATAAATTTTTGCTATTTCTATCTCTTGATGCAGCATGGAGACCATTATCCTGGGAGACAAAAGAATAGGGATCAAAACAAGTGTTCTAGAGGAAAAGGCCACGGCTTGTAACATGCTTTGTTGCTATGCTGATGAGTTAAAAGAAGGATTTTTTCCTTGGATTGATCAGGTTAGTATGGTTAAATAACACCAAATTGTGTCAATATCTGGTATTGTTGTTGGGTTCGGGAGAGTGATTTTTTATACTTTAGGTTGCACCTACATTGGTTCCTCTACTGAAATTCTATTTTCACGAAGAAGTTAGAAGAGCAGCTGTTTCAGGTATATCAGAAAATATCTCGTCTATAATGTATTCTTTATATCATTAGAACACAAGTTTCTAAGAACTTGGATAATTTTTCTTTCTAGCCATGCCGGAACTAATGCGCTCAGCCAAGCTGGCAATAGAGAAAGGGGAATCTCAAGGGCGCGATCTATCCTATTTGAAGCAGCTTTCTGACTACATTATTCCAGCCATGCTGGAAGCTTTGCATAAAGTTAGTGTGTGTTCTGTTCATTTTTCTTTTCTCTATTTGGCTTTGATTCACTGTTGTGATGGGGCGGATGACCGGATTTTATGTAGGAACCTGATACAGAGATCTGTGTGAGTATGTTGGAAGCCATCAATGAGTGCTTGCAGGTAAATTTTCATTACCAAATTAGGGTAACTTGGGACTTCTTTTTCTATGTGCTTCTTGAATGCTGCACTTTCCTTGGTAGTCTTGCTGTTTTTTCTTACTAATTTAGGTTATCTATGTGATTTCTTGTATTGGAATGCCTGTAAAAACAAAATGATGGCCTTTTTTGTTTTCTTTGCTTCATCACTTGTTCATTTCCCTTCTGAGCATAGATTATCGAGAGTGGTGAATTATGTTACCTTATTAGCTGACCTTATCTTCATCCTTTCCTTAGGCTTAGGGTATGTGATAGAGAGCTTACGTTGAACAAGTCTTTATTATGTTCTCTCTTAGAGTAAATAGTAGGCATTACATTGGAAAATGGTATCTTATAACCTGTGTTTCCAGATCTCTGGAAATCTTTTGGATGAAGGGAAAATTAGATCCATAGTTGATGAGATAAAGCAAGTTATGACCGCAAGCTCTAGTAGGAAGCTAGAGAGGGGAGAGAGGGCCCATGCTGAAGACTTCGACGCTGAAGAGAGAGAGCTTATTAAAGAGGAAAATGAGCAAGAGGAAGAAATTTTTGATCAAGTTAGTTTTCTGTGATTCACGCTTGTTAAATGGATGTACACTATTTTCAATGTTCTAATTTTTGTTTTTGAAATATAGGTCGGTGAAATATTGGGAACACTGGTTAAGACATTCAAGGCATCATTTCTGCCTTTCTTCGATGAATTGTCCTCTTACTTAACTCCTATGTGGGTAAGTGGCCATCATCACTCAAGTCTTCTATTTTTTGTGCTTCATGATACTAAGTGGAGAAATTTCTGTATTCGAGAATATCTTTTGAATTGTTTGTCAGTGAGTAGGCGGTTTTTGTTATAGCCAGAACCTCATATATTCCCTAACTTATAAGTACATAACTTAATTGATATAGTATTAGTGAAAAAAGTGTACAAATTTTGGCACTCTGTTTCAGGTGAATGTAGTTTCTAAATATGTGGCTGTTGCCATGTCTCTGGTACAATAATAGTCTTAGTTTGCCTTATGTTTTCTGTTTTGCTATTGATTAATGTATTCGTTGAATTCAGGGAAGGGATAAAACAGCGGAAGAGAGAAGGATTGCTATATGCATTTTTGATGATGTAGCAGAACAATGCCGTGATGCTGCCTTTAAGTAAGGATACACATTCACTGGATCATTGTACATTGTAGGTTTTCAGTTTTCAGAGGTCTGATATGGTGTCACCTTATATTTGTTTGGCAGATATTATGATACCTATCTTCCATTTGTACTGGAAGCTTGCAATGACGAGAGTCCTGAAGTTCGACAGGCTGCCGTTTATGGGCTTGGTGTTTGTGCTGAGTTTGGCGGATCTGTATTCAAGCCTCTTGTTGGAGGTATGATACACCTTTACCCACTGGTAGGTTTTTTGGGTTTGATCCATACGTTACAGTTACGTAACACATGATTTTATGTCAACAGAGGCTCTGTCAAGATTAAATGTTGTGATACAGCAGCCAAATGCTCGGCAATCTGAAAATGCCATGGCATATGATAATGCTGTATCCGCTGTGGGAAAGATCTGCCAATATCACCGTGATAGTATTGATTCTTCTCAGGTAGATTATGATAGTTAAATTGGATTGCACAATTACATGTGATTGCTTTTGATGATTCACAAGTTACCTTGTTTTGGTTTTATTAGGTACTTCCTGCGTGGTTGAACTGTTTGCCTATAAGCAATGATGTCATTGAAGCCAAAGTGGTTCATGAACAGCTCTGCTCAATGGTTGAGAGGTAAGCAATGGGTTTAGATTCTAATTTTACTTTCATTTTCCATTCCTTGTGACTATCTAAAACAGCTTTAATTGGTGATAAACTTGCAGGCAAGATGTGGACCTTTTAGGCCCCAATAACCAGTATCTTCCGAAAATCTTAATAGTTTTTGCCGAGGTATGTTTCTTACGCTTTTCATAGACAATTTTCATTCTTTGATCTTTTGCATTATTGTACTGATAGAGAAATCAATGTGTATATCGGTGGCCAGGTGCTTACAGGGAAAGATGTGGTGACAGAAGAGACAGCAGGTCGTATGATAAATATATTAAGGCAACTTCAACAGACACTGCCACCATCGGCGTTGGCCTCAACATGGTCAACGCTGAAACCCGAACAGCAACTCGCTCTCCAATCCATGCTTTCCTCCTAAAATCACTCCAATCCGTCTCTCTGTTTATTTTACAGTCTTGTGAGCTCTGTTTTCACCACAGAGCGTCGTCAGTTTTGCATTTATGTGTTTACAAAAAAATTTCTTCTTTCACATTTTTCATCAAATTCTTTTGGGAGGGATGATGATGGGTCGGTCTGTCCTTCACAAGTTACAAAGTGAAAGTTTCTATCTTTATGGTAGGAAGTGTATATTAGGAGGGAAGGATGAAATTGTTTGTGAAAAATGTGTCATTGGGAAATTGGGTATGGTTCCCCAAATACACAGGTTTGGTGTCGGTGTTGGTGTTGGTGTCGGTTTGGGTTTGAGAGAGGGATGAAGTTTTGGTGCTTTATACGAGAAACAGAAAGATTTGATTTTGAATTTTTTGTTTTTGTATGCAATTGAGAATTTTGGATGAATGATTCTTTTCTCTCATTGCCATTGTTGATTTGTACACTCTTTTGGACACTCTTTGGCCTTTTCTTAATAAAAGAAATGTTTTTTTATATATATATATATATATATTTAATTTTGTTATACCGTTGTCGTATATATGTGTGTCAAACAGCAAGTAAGCAGCTAAGCATGTTAATCAAATGATTTTTAAGTTTTGTCTGGAAGAATTGGTGCGTCGGCCACGAGAACGAGATGGTCACTAATTACATTTCTCATTTATATCACATGTCTTTGTTCTCCTCACTCACTACAAAAAGTCGCTTCAGGTTTCTTCTACCTCAAAGATATAGGCCCTTCTCAATGAGAAGCCTTCGTGAAATTTTAAGTTAATCCATGTTAAAGCAATCAAGTTTTGCTTTGCTTGGTAGATTCAATCACCCGTTTTGGAATTGGATAAACTAAACGTCAATGTCACCTGAACTGTCCTTGATCTGTCAAACCTCATTAAGCGATGAATCTCGAGTTCGGTGAACGTATGCTTGACTTGAGCTTCTCACCAATGGTTAGGCCTTATTTCCCAAGACGTCTAGGTCATCACAAAACTTTCACTTGTGAGGTTGTGATAAATATGACCCCTTTTGAAAGAATACCTAGAGAGAGAATGTGTAATAACTTTTTTTTTTTTATCATTCCATGATTTAGAAATGAAGAAACTAACTTTTTAATAACTTTTTTCTTCATATCAAAAGAGATGAGATAATTTCTCTTACTCTGTCTCTTCATTCTCTAGTGTCCCGAAAACTCCTTTGGTGTCCCGAATATTTCTAGATTCTTCTCGAACACTTAAAGAATTTTCCACAACGTAGACGTCCAGATCAATGGATGAACCCAAAATGTTCTGAAGCCTTGAGGGAAAATTAAAGGCTCGTGGCATCTGCTTCGATATTTGATGGATCCAATTTAATCAAGTACTTGCATTTGTTAAAGGATAAATATGCCATGTAACCTGAAACATTGTATAAATCTTACGTAACTATAGTGGGATGACGGTTACATTTGATCTTGTTTTGTTTACAGAAAAACTGTTTTGATGCAAGTCAAAAGGGACGTATATATGTAATGATTATCTTTTAAAGAATCTGTAAACGAAGTCCCCAATCAATAATTGAAAGACTGCCCATTTGATCTTTAGTCAGAAATTTTTACAATACAAATATACAATAAAACGAAGGTTATAAAAACAGAAGAAGCTAACACTACAAAACCGCGAGAAGCTGAGAGACAGTCAAAAGTCAAAACAAAGTTAAACGCTAGTGCACTCTTAGGAAAAATTATTTCAGAAAACAATCCATCAGTGAATAATATACACATGGTAGAATATTAATGTCTTCTTCTGAGCCGCTTGCATGCTTCTTAGAGCTTCAAGAACCACAACCATGATTTTCCGGCAGGAGGTGGTGGATACACTCTTCCATATTTAGAGGGTGGTGGCGGTGGAGTTCTCTTGTAGTAAGCAGCGGCTTGAGGTCGAGGAGGAGGAGGTGGATAAACTCTTCCATATTTAGAAGGTGGTGGTGGTGGAGTTCTCTTGTAGTAAGCAGCGGCTTGAGGTCGAGGAGGAGGAGGAAGAGCATTAGGAGGGGAACGAGTAACCGGGGGTGGAGGAGGGGAACGAGGAACCGGGGGTGGAGGAGGAGAAAGAGGAACCGGGGGTGGAGGAGGAGAAAGAAGAACCGGGGGTGGAGGAGGAGAAAGAGGAACCGGGGGTGGAGGAGGAGAAAGAGGAACCGGGGGTGGAGGAGGAGAAAGAATAACCGGGGGTGGAGGAGGAGAAAGAGGAACCGGAGGTGGAGGAGGAGAAAGAATAACCGGGGGTGGAGGAGGAGAAAGAGGAACCGGAGGTGGAGGAGGAGAAAGAATAACCGGGGGTGGAGGAGGAGAAAGATTAACCTGGGGTGCTGGAACAGATTGTAATAGCTTTCTGTTGTTGTTTCCATTAGCAACTGTGATTAAGATTGCCAAGAGAAAAAGTAGGATCAAGGAAAACTTTTGGGACGCCATTTTTCAGGGCAGTATTTTCTACTTATTGTTGTTAATATTCTTATGACTTATTTATAGATAGATATTTCTTGCAAGCTCCCTTAGAGGTGTCCCACTAACCTTATAAGATTTTGTCAAGATCACTGTTTATTAAGTATGAATATTGGTCGGCTTAGCATTAGTCTCTTTTTTCTATTGATGCCTCCCTCAAAACATTTAGCCTACTTAAGCATCTCCAATGGTAAGAGCCCTCCATTTGCCGTTAATTTCACTCTCACTCTCCATCTCCATCGTCTCGCCTAAAGAAGGAGAGTAAGTCAGAAAAATCCAAAAAGGCAAAATGTTTTGTTAAAAGAAACCAACCAATAAAAACGTGACACGTCATCGTCTCTTTTGTCTTGCAAAGTCTCTCTCAAGAGAGACAACTCTCTTAAAAATAAATTATTCTGATTTATTTTTTTCAATTTTTAATGAGATAAACTATGAAGAGAGCTCCATTTTCACACCATTGGAGATGCTCTTAGACTTAAAAAAGTATAGTTTGTTGAGTAAAATATCTAATTTTATTATTTCGTTGTCGTATAAGCACGATAAATGTGTCAGACAGCAAGTAAGCAGCTAAGCATGTTAATCAAATGTTTTTAAGTTTGTGTCTGGAAGAATTGGTGCGCCGGCCACGAGATACAAAATGTTTGGACCCTCTCATTACAGTTCTCATTTATAGCACATGCTTCAGGTTTCTATCTTAAAGATATAGGGAGGCCCTTGACTTAGTTAAAATTTAAGTTAATCCATGTTAAAAGCAATTCTAATGTCTAAGCATCTCGCAAGTTTTGCTTGGGTAGCTTCAATCACGTCCCTGTCTTCGAATTGGATAAACAAAAGTCAATGTCACTCTGAATTGTCCTTGATCTGCCAAACATCATTAAGCGAAGTCTCTCGAGTTCGGTGATCGTATGCTTGACTTGAGCCTCTGACCAAACTTAACAATGATTAGGCCTTATTGCCCAAGACACCTAGGTCATCACAAAACTTTTCACTTATGAGGTTGTGATAAATATGACCCCTTTTGAAAGAAAACCTAGAGAGGAAATGTGTAATAGTTTTTTCTTTGTATATCATTCCATGATGATTTACAAATGAAGGATCTCTCATCCCCTTTTTTTCAAGGATCTCTCATCCCTTTTTATTAAAAATTCACCGACAGAACAGACGATGAAGATCTAACAGTCTAACAGAGACAATGTAGACGTCCATATTAAAGGATGAACAACTTTAGCTAGGCTAGGTATCAACGGATGAACCACCCTTTAATTTCCCAGTCTAAAGACTCGTGGCATCTGCTTCCAAAAAGGTGTTCTCTCTTGGACATTTGATGGGTGTAATGATATAAACTAATCAACTACTTGCATTTGTTAAACGATAAATATGCCATGTAACCTTAAACACTGTATAAATCTTACGTAATTAGAGTTAGATGACGGTTACATTTGATCTTGTTTTGTTTGTAGAAACACTGTTTTGATGCAAATAAAAAGGGGCGTATGTAATGTAAAAGAAGTCCCAATTAATCAATAAACGAATCAAAGACTGCCCATTTGATGTTTAGTCAGAAATTTTAGAATATAAAAACTGGAAAAAGAATCAATACAATAAAAACAAGGTTAAAAAAACAGAAGGAAGCTTCAGTCTCACTACAAAACCGCGAGAAACAAATAGAACAAATTCCGGTAAACTGAGAGACAGTCAAAACAAAGTTAAACGCTAATACACTCTTAATTAGGCAAACTTCTTTCAGATAATCAGTGAATAATATATATATGGTAGAAAAAAAATGTCTTCTCCTGAGCCGCTTGCATGCTTCTTAGAGCTTCAAGAACCACAACCATGATTTTCCGGGAGGAGGTGGTGGATACACTCTTCCATATTTAGAGGGTGGTGGCGGCGGTGGAGATCTCTTGTAGTAAGCAGCGGCTTGAGGTCGAGGAGGAGGAGGAGGAGAAAGATTAACGGGAGGTGGATATACCGGGGGCGGAGGAGGAGAATATTTGTAAGATGTCAATAGCTTTCTATTGTCGTTTCCATTAGCAACTGTGATTAAGGTTGCCAAGAGAAAAAGTAGGGTCAAGGAAAACCTTTGGGACACCATTTTTCAGGTCAGTATTCAGTATTTTCTACTTATTGTTAATATTCTTAAGATTTATATATAAGATATTTCTTGTAAGCTCTAACTTAGAGGTTTCCCACTAACCTTTTAAGATTTGGTCAAGATCATTGTTTTTAAGTATATATTGGTCGGCTTTGCATTTTAAAAATCTCCTAATTTCTTATTGAGGCCTCCCTCTAAGCATTAAGCTTACTTAAGTATTAAAAAACTATTGTTTTGTTGAATTAAATATTCCCAATTCCAAGCTGAGAAACAAACACATCATGTATTTGTCTTTTGTACCATTTGTTTTAATACTAAGAAAATAAGAAAATGGCGCGCACGCAATTACTACATGGAACCCACATAAAACCTCTGAATGATTCTCAAGAGTACACAAAAGCCCATAATTATAAAACTCATATCCGTATCATCACTAAAATAACAAGAACAAGTCTTCGGAAAGACGAGCCACCCACTAAGATTTGACCCCAAACATAAGAGCACAAAATGAAAAATTTATGTATCCCTATATATACGTGTATATCTATGTCTATGTCTATGTACAGATTCATCCAAAAAAAAAAATGGAACATCAAACAACTCCAAAGCAGAAAACAAAGGAGAAGAGCAAAGGCAACAAGACTAAGTTTGTGGGAGTTAGGCAAAGGCCTTCAGGAAAATGGGTGGCAGAGATCAAAGACACTACACAAAAGATACGGATGTGGCTCGGAACTTTTGAGACCGCAGAGGAAGCCGCTCGAGCCTACGATGAAGCTGCCTGTCTTTTACGTGGCTCCAATACTCGCACCAATTTCGCAAACCATTTTCCTAACAACTCACAACTTTCTTTGAAGATCAGAAACCTCCTTCACCAGAAGCAGAGCATGAAGCAACAACAACAACAACACAAACCCGTTTCTTCTTTTGCGGATTGCAGCATCAACTACACTTCGACTGCTACTAGTCTCACCACAACTACCACCACTACCACGGCTATGCCGCTCAATAATGTGTACAGACCAGATTCATCGGTCATTGGGCAACCAGAAACCGACAGTCTCCAGCTTCCTTATTCATGGCCCCTTGTCTCTGGATTCAACCATCAGATTCCATTGGCTCAGGGAGGGGGAGAAGAAACACATGGACATCTCAACGATCACTACTCAACCGATCAACATTTGGGTCTTGCAGAAATCGAAAGACAGATATCTGCGTCCCTATATGCAATGAATGGAGCTAACAGTTACTATGACAACATGAATGCAGAATATGCAATTTTCGATCCTACCGATCCCATTTGGGATCTCCCTTCACTCTCCCAACTTTTCTGCCCTACGTGATTCCAATTTACTTTTCCTAATCAATTCATGTAATTTTTGGATCCATGATCCATGATTGTAAAGTAGAACACATCTCTACAATGTTCCAATAGACAAGATTGTACCTATAGAAAATGGACACTGTAAGAAGATAATGACGGTTTGGTACAACAAAAGCTTGATAATGAACTCGGGATCTTCCCCAATGGTCGCTCTACCAATGAAAATGTATCTAACCGAGATAAAACACGAAGGCGGAATAAGTCCAATGGATATTGTACAGGATTAAAACAAACATGTAATCAACAAGAATCATAAAATGAAAACAGATAAACGAAAAAACTTTTTGGTTGCTCATTGCTTGAGAAAAGGTGTCAATAGTCTTCACCTTCATCTTCTTCATCGTCACCACCTTCAGCACCCACTTCTTCGTAATCTTTCTCCAGTGCGGCCAAGTCTTCACGTGCCTCAGAGAATTCACCTTCCTCCATTCCCTCACCAACGTACCAGTGCACAAATGCCCTCTTTGCATACATAAGATCAAACTTGTGGTCGATCCGTGAGAACACCTCTGCAACTGCTGTGTTGTTACTGATCATGCACACAGCTCTCTGAACCTTAGCGAGGTCACCACCTGGAACAACTGTTGGAGGTTGGTAGTTGATTCCACATTTGAACCCAGTTGGGCACCTGCAAAATAAAACCCATGCCAAAGGAATTGTTAAATTAAAAAAAAAAAAAACATGAAGGTAGAAACAGTAGCAGCTAAATCCATTTCTAGATCATACCAGTCAACAAACTGAACAGTCCTCTTTGTCTTGATGGTGCCAACAGCTGCATTAACATCTTTGGGAACGACATCTCCACGGTACATCAAACAACATGCCATGTACTTTCCGTGCCTCGGGTCACACTTTGCCATCATGCTAGCTGGCTCAAACACTGCATTGGTGATCTCAGGGACTGATAACTGTTCATGGTAAGCCTTGGCGGCTGAGATGACTGGTGCATAAGATGAGAGCATGAAATGGATACGGGGATATGGGACAAGATTGGTCTGGAACTCAGTGATATCCACATTGATGGCTCCATCAAACCTCAACGATGTTGTCAAGGATGAAATGATCTGTGATATCAACCTGTTCAAGTTTGTGTAGGTTGGCCTCTCGATATCTAGGGATCTGCGGCAAATGTCATAGATGGCTTCGTTATCCAAGAGGACAGCTACATCGGTATGTTCAAGAAGGGAATGCGTTGAGAGAACACTGTTGTAAGGCTCTACAACAGCAGTAGAAACCTGACATCACAAAGCAATACATTCAAAACCAAGATTCATTCAGATTACACCACTTAAGAAACATGTAATGTAATGAGCTCCTACTTCAGGTTCTAGCAAAAAAAGAGTACCTGAGGAGAAGGGTAAATGGTGAAACCAAGCTTAGACTTCTTTCCGTAATCTACAGACAAACGTTCTAACAACAGAGAACCCAATCCAGAACCAGTTCCACCACCAACAGCATTGAACACCAAAAACCCTTGCAAGCCAGTACAGTTGTCGGCAAGTTTCCTCACACGGTCAAGGCATAGATCCACAATTTCCTTTCCAACTGCAATAACAAGAAGCATTCTAAGGACCATTTCAAAAACCCTAACAAGTTATAAGAAGCATGAAATGGATTCTCACCAGTGTAATGGCCTCTAGCGAAGTTGTTAGCAGCATCTTCTTTCCCAGAGATAAGCTGCTCAGGATGGAAAAGCTGACGGTAAGTACCAGTACGAACTTCGTCGATAACAGTAGGCTCGAGATCAACGAAGACAGCCCTAGGGACATGCTTCCCAGCACCAGTCTCGCTAAAGAAGGTGTTGAACGCATCGTGCGCAACACCAACTGTAGTATCACTACAACAGAGCAAAAACATTCGTCTCTCAAAAACCTTCCGATCCACAGAAACAGATTAGAAATGAGCGAATTAGGGTTTATACCTCGGCATCATTCCGTCGGGCTGGATTCCATGTTCGAGACAGTAAAGCTCCCAGCACGAATTCCCGACCTGGATCCCAGCTTGCCCGATATGAATGCTTATGATTTCTCGCATCTTCTCTCAGTAGAAACCCTAATTTCGAGCGATTCTCTTCTTCGACGGCCGGAGAATTGAGGAAATGAGAGCGGTGAGCGAGATCTTCTTTTTTTTTCCATGATTTTTGTGGGAAAATTGATTATTTATTGAATGAGATTTGATAATTGGTTGGGGTCCGCCAAGTTGTGACAGCCTGCCTTAGGGACTGGGCATAGACAAAATACGTGAGATTCGATCTGGATCTAGATCTGGGAGGTGTCGATTTTTTTACCCGGTTTAGTTACTTACCGGTATTTAGGTATTTTCATTAGTATGCTTGGGGTAAATCATAAGCTTAACCGAACTAAATCTCTGTAATTAGAGTTTTGTGGTTTAACTAACTATTAGTAGTATAAGTGCCAAACCGAAAATATCGTCATGTCAGGTTGTCCATGTTTATAAGATTTTAATTCTCTTTTGATGCTTCTTTAAATTAATTTAATTACTATAATTCTTGACTATGTAAAATCAAATGGTTGACTTAAATAAAAAAATAAAAGAGTTAAATGATCATTCATGTCATTTTCAATGAGTGGGACAAGTTACGACCAAAATGAAGATTTGGTAACGAAAATGATTGGAATGATATGAATTGATCAACACATAAATTGGTAAATCTAGACTATATTGAGATAGTCAGCTAGATTGATTCTCTAGTTTACTCAGCTAGGTTGGAGAGATTAATGACTAATCAGTTCAAGTATGTGTACTAAAGCTTATTTGTCCTAATTGGTTTTGTTTAGTCATTTGGATCGAATGGATCAAAATTAACGGTTATATCCTATAGCAATCCAACCACATGTCCTATAGATAGAATGTTTTTTTTCGCTTATAGATATAATGTTTTAAAAGAACTTTCATTCATTCAAACAAACTAAAAGAAAGAAGAATGCATGGTTTTAAGGCAATTGATAGTTAAGACGTTGAGAAAAAAATTCGAATGATTTATCTGAGCAATTACGTCGATATAAGGATGTATGGAGCAGAGTGGACTGATATAACTTGGGCTGATCTTATCTGGTTTAAAGGATCAACTCCTAAACATGCGTTCCAAATGTGAATCGCAAACTTGGACCGGCTGCATACCTTGGCGAGACTTGTCTCCTGGGGACTGCAGGTATTTACTGACTGCTGCCTCTGTTCTGGTGCTGTATGTTATAAATTTAAGTGTAAACCGACGGTTATTAAATTAACCATTGCAACTATTCAATTTATGGTTATTATTTAAACGTACGGTTGCAAACGTACGTCACAACTTTTGAACCATATATAAACTTTGTTTCTCTTGTGTCAAAGAAAGAGAAGAAGAGGAGAAAAGAGAGATTCACGAGACTAAAGATTGTCTTAATCTTTCTGGTGCTGTAGAAACTAGAGATCACTTGTTTCTACATTGCCCCTATACACAAATCATTTGGAAATCAATTATGCTTAGGCTGAGGCTGCCTTCTCCACCGTCTCTCTATTGGTCTTCTATGTTGACTTGGGCAACTGTCAGGAATGCTTCTTCACCCACTACTCTTCGGCTTTTACTCATCCATGCTCT